TTCCCTTTCAAAATGGCAACTGTTGAAGAAGGTGATCCATTCCTCCAATAACCAACTCAGCTCATTATATCTCAACTAGATCAAATTTCTACTCTATATAACAATGTTGACACTAATCATCATGCTCAGTCCACACCTATAGTATCTCCTACAGATGGCTCACTCCCTGAAGATAATGTTGATATTGATATTGATATTGTTGATGCTCAATTACATGATCATCATATGCCAGATGTTGTTGAGTCAGTTGATGAAGCCAGTAAGCAGCCCGAGCCAACAGTTACTAAAACTCGTGAGCAGCCTGTACCCGCAGTTGTGCCAGAGGATAGTGCTCTATCATGCACTACCAATGGGCATTAGAAGAAGGCAGTTCCTATCATTTAGATAAAGGATTGTGTGAATCCTACCAAAGGAATAACTGGTCACAAATATCATGTATCCAACCATGTTGGTTTTTCATATTTGTCTGCCCCATATCAGTCTTATTTAGAAGCTTTCTTAGTTCTCACTTAACCTCGAAGCTTCAAGGAAGCTACAACGGACAAAAGTTGGATTGAGTCAAGGAAGCAAGAGGTTAAAGCTCTTTAGAATAACCAAACTTGGGAGGTGGTATACTTACCACCAAGAAAACAAATAGTCGGATCAAAATGGGTATACAAGATTAAATACAAGGCCAATAGAGAGGTTGATAGATTCAAAGCAAGGTTAGTAGCTAAGGATTACACTCAACATGAGGGGCGAGACTACTATAAAAATTTCTCACATGTGGAATAAATGGTTACAATTAGGATAGTAATTGGGGTGGCAACATCAAAAGACTGGCAATTGTTCTAGATGGATGTTAATAATACCTTCCTCCAAGGTGATTTGGAGAAAAATATCTACATGGAGATGCCTAAGGGGTTCTAAAAACAGGGGAAGTATAAGGTCTGCGGGTTGTTGAAATCCCTATATGGACTCAAACAGGCTTCTAGACAGTGAAACATAAAACTAACCACTGCTCTCATGCAAGCTGGATATGTACAAAGTCCATATGATCACTCTCTTTACACCAAGAAAAGAGGGGCTGATATTGTGATTATTCTGGTATATGTTGATGAGTTATTAATTACAGGTAGTAATGCTAACCTGATATAAAAGGCAAAGGATTTGCTACATGGAAGCTTCAAGATGAAGGACTTGGGGGAACTAAGGTACTTCTTTGGTATAGAAGTGATGAGGTCAAAGGAAGGAATACTTCTTAACCAAAGAAAATATGCTCTGGAATTGGTCTCAGTATAAGTCTAAGTGGTTGTAAACCTGTTTCCACACTAGTGGGACTCAATCACAAGCTAACAACTGTGGACTATGGTAAGAATATGGGAATCACTGAAGTTTCAGAATTGGAAGATATAGCAGCCTATCAGAAACTAATAGGAAAGTTACTATATTTGAAAATCACAAGACCAGACCTATGTTTTGTTGTACAAGTTCTGAGCCAACTTATGCAATAGCCAAAACAATCTCATTTGAATGCAACAATGAGAATTGTCAGGTATATCAAAGGTTCACTAGGCCTTGGGATACTTTTGGAAAAAGAAGAAACTCGCACACTCACAGCTTACTGTGACTCAAATTGGGCTGCTTGTCCTAACTCTAAGAGATCAATCACAGGCTATGTTGTGAAGATAGGAGATTCATCGTTGTCTTGAAATTTAAGAAACAACAAACAATAAGTATAAGCTCGGCAGAAACAGAATGTAAGAGCATGGCAGCTGTAGTTGCAGAAGTGATTTGGATGACAAGATTATTGGGAGAGTTGGGAGTGAAGGTGTAGAAGCCAGTACACCTACATTGTGACAACAAGGTTGCGTTACAAATAGCAGCAAATCGTATCTTTTATGAGAGGACAAAATATATAGAAATCGATTGTCAATTTGTGAGAGAAAGGATCAAGGCAGGTGATGTTAGGCTAGAAACTCGTGTTTTAGCCATAGTATTACATGCCAATGATTGCATTTTTTATGTGTGTTTGAGTTCAAATGATAGTGAATTGCACTTAGTACGTGTTTTATACATTGTAGGAAGTGATCCTGAGCTCAAAAGTTAATTTGGAGATAAATTGATCAATTTAGAGCTTTGAAGTCTGAGTAAAAGCCCAATACATTAAGCCGGGATCGTGTTCGGAGGTCGTGCACCAAGTCCGGATGTTAAAAGAGGACGAAATAAGTTCACTATGAGAAAATTACACTGCCGCGCCGCAAGAGGCGCCGCAAGGCGCGGTGCAGCAGTGTAAAATGCTGCCTGATGCGAAAAGTTGAGGCTGCTGATAAAATGCACTAATGCGCCGCATGGTGCGGCGCAGCCTGCGGCGCGACTGTTCAAATTTTACAGAGTGATTGTCCTATTTCGCGCGGGAGAAGGTATTTTCGTCTAGGCCCGACCCTACTTGGTATAAATACATGTAAAAACTCTATTTTGAGGAGGTTGGACAGATTTGAGACATAGATTCGACCTAAGGAGGCAGAGACACAATAGGAGCAAGGCGGAGAATTCTTCTACGAGTTTTTCCTTCCTCTTCCTATTTTTCATTGTTGGTTATGACTTTTAGTATTGTAGTTTTACATACTATTATGAATAACTAATTTGTTATCTAGGATTTTGATGGAACCTTTTTTAGGATAAATTCTTGTTATGTTTTTATATAATTGAGCCGTAGCATAATCTCTATATTCAACTACGTTCTTGTTGTAGTTAATTGATAGGATCCTCAGTTAGCTGTGCCTATTTAGTATGTATTACTCGGAAGAGAGTGCATATTTAGGTAGTTGTTGAACAACATCACTCCCGACGTATGTGAGCAATCAATAACCAAGGGTTTAAAGGTGGGATTAGGGATAACGAAACCTTGAGTGCGATCTAAGTGAGCTGTAACTAAAGCCAGCTAGCGTAAATCGGGAGAGTATGTCTAGTAAATTATCGTAATTACTCGGGAGAGAATTACAACAAGCAGAGCGCTCATGATCGGTAGAGAATACTTAGGCAAAATTATAGAAGACATAGCGGGAAAGATTCCGACAATTGGGGAAATCATAACTCTAGACCTCCTTAATCTTGTCTCTAACCCTTAGTATCTTTAGTTGTTAATTTACTATTTTAATTTGTTAGTTAATTAGTTAAACACAAGAATCTTAATATATATAGTTAGAAATTATTCAAACTTGTCTTCTTAGTGATATTGAACAGCTGGAGTTAAGCCTTAGTTCTCTGTGGGATTCGACTTCGGACTTTTAGACTGAATTATATTTGCAGCGATCGCTTATACTTTTTAGGACTAGAGTTGGGCGTGATCAGCAGGCTTGATCACTACCAACTATATTACTTCCAAGCAACAACTAGCTGACTTGATGACCAAGGGCCTAGGAACTGCACAACACCAGTTAACACTCTCCAAGCTTGGAGTGTTTGATGTTTTTCACGTTCTAGCTTGAGGGGGAATATTGAGAATCAAGGGTCAAACTGTAATTGAGGAAAGTTTAGGGTAGTTAGTTGTATATGTAAATAAGGATGTTAATTAGGCACGTGAGAGGGTTGTTATATAGCACAGTGAATTTGGAAATATGATTCACTCGAACATAACCGCCCTTCTCTCTAGTCTGTACCCAGTTCTTCTCTTCTTTCTTGATTCTTTCAAAATTGATCAAAGAGAAATGCACTTGCATGTGCTGCGTTGTTTGCATTAGTCGATTTAGCTCAAGTTAACAAATACGATGTTTGACATCATTATTGTAGTAGTACTAGTTGTTGTTGTTATTTGAAAATGTCTACATTATACTGATGCGGCCTTTCCCCGATCATGAGTGAATACAGGATGATTTGTGAATCGAACTCCTCTTTCATTACAGTATTTGCTTATTGCTTTAATAATATACTACTGTATTTGACACAAACGTAAGTGTTATGACATCTCCTTTATGTAAATCGGCACACCTTACTATTATAGTTTCTCGTTACGCAGAGATGTTGCGTGCATAAATAAATTCAAGTTTTATTCATTGATAATGTCTTCTTCTTTTTTGCACTTTTAATGCAATTTAATTGAGTATAACAAATTACTATTGTTTTTTTCAAGTTATCATATTAAACTTGGTATGAAAAATCATGAGTGTTGTTATAGATAGCCTTAACATAATAGTGTAAAAATATACAACATGTCTATATGTGGGTCTAAGAAAAATAGGCAAATTATATACCTAACCGATTAGGTAACAATATTCATATTACACGGCTATATATACTGTAAAAATTCCAAGAAAAAAAGGGACACAATGTACAGGTCACAACTTGCAAGTATGTGAGACTTGGATCCCACAATATAGTACATAGGGAAAAGGGTACTGTATGTTATGGAACGAGGACGTAAAAGCGCCGTCAACGAAAGTATACAAAAAAAACTGTACAGAGAAATAGTCAGTGAGTAAGACTGGCCCCAATTACTGTACATAAAAGTATTATCATAGGCATTGGGCTATTTGGCTTATACTAAGAAATGGCCCTCAACTGCTGTATTTTGTCTTGTGGTTTGTACCAAAAACCTGTGGCCCTAAACGAAACATTAACCACCAGACCCTTCACTGTATCCATATCCAATCACTACTCGACAACGCAACAACCCCAAACCACTCTTGTTTTCACTTTATCATATCAGTTTTTTGTTGCCCTTTCATTTCATTCAATCAAGAACACCCCCATCCCCTACCACCCTTGTCCTCGTGCTTCTTCCCCATATATGCTCCATAATTTATAGCATGTTTGGCCAGGTTTTTCCAAGCAAAAAAATATTTTTTTTTAAAGTTGAAGTATTTGGCCAAATTTTTAGAGGGAAAAAAATGCTTTTGCATAGTATCAAAAGCAGTCTTGGAGAAAAAGAAAAAAAATAGCTTCTTTTTTTAAAAACACTTTTTAGAAAAATATAATTAGAAGTAATTTTTAAAAACTTGGCCAAACACTAACTGCTGCTCAGAAATGCTTTACAAATAAGTTAGCATACTTATCAAAATAAGTTGATTTTTGCAGCTTGGCCAAACGGACTATTAATTTCACTAATCCAAACACACCTCTTTTTCATTCATATGGTAGGGGACAACCTTAATTAGTCTTCTTTCTTTCAACCTTACTTAGCATCCGCCAAATTAATTCCTCAAATGCTCCAAGAAGCCAACCGAAATGATTCAATAATACTTATCATATCAATAAGAACTTCATCCTCAACCACTTTCTTTCCTGAGGAATAAACTACTTTTGGATTTAGGGTTTTTCTTCTTCACTTTCTTGCTTCCAAACACAAAAAGTTTTTTTTCAACCATTCAATATCTGAAATTCATTAGTCCGACTAATCTTGTACAAAGATGGGAAGAGGTAGGGTTCAGTTGAAACGGATCGAAAACAAGATCAGCAGGCAAGTCACTTTCTCGAAGAGACGCTCTGGATTGTTGAAGAAAGCAAATGAGATCTCCGTTTTGTGTGATGCTGATGTTGCCTTAATCGTTTTCTCCACCAAAGGCAAGCTCTTTGAGTACTCCTCCGAGTCCAGGTAATCTTTTAATTCTTATCTTAAACCGAATATTAATTCAAAACCAGAGACAAACTGGACTGGGAATATTAAAAAAAAAACAAAAACAATTTCTAAAGTTGTCTCTATGTGCAGTTAAACTCATTGTTATTCTCTTTTGCATTAATCATTATATATACCCCTTTCTTATTGCTTGCTATTAATATCACTAGAGTATACTTAAGTTTTAAGTGATGACTTTGTTTTGGGTCATTGCAATGCATTTTAACTGCAATCAGGAAAAGTTATGGAGTACTTAATTAGATTTCTATTTCTTAATGTGCGAAGCATTGAAGCTTATAATTTATGTCAGACGAATCAACCAGAAAAGTAAATCAAATAGACATATCGATATTACCCTTAATTCCTAACCACATAAATATGTTACCGTCGGACGTCTCTGTAACACCATCACAATATAATATATATTCACTCTAAAACTCAAGCTTTTTTTAGAACCGATTTTTATGTTATAATATATGTCCTCTGTAATATCACTTCTCTATAGCAACGAAAAAATATCGGAACAAACGAGGCTGTAATGAAAAGATTTATTATTTTGTACAGGTAGCCATGGTGGTGTTTTGGTTCTTAGACAAATTTGACATTATCGTATGCACTTATGGATCGCATACGCACCAAGAAAAGAAACATAAAAGTACAACTATTGTCAGATGTAATTAACCATCGATACACATGTGATACACTGATACTCAACCGATTAAATTGACACCAGTGTTTACTCTTTAGTCTGTTTGTCTGTGAAAGAACTGAAAAGTTTTAGCTAATTGTGGGGAACATTTAATTATTTGGAAAATCTAATAGGATCAGAAGGGAAAAAAGAAAAGAAAAAAAGCTGAAGAAAAGACATCTCTTAAAATTAAGAGAGTGTTGAGTTTGGGAAACCAAGACAACCTTTGTCTGAAATGGAGATCCTAGAGCCTTGTGCCTCTTTGTCAGTTCATTCATTATTAGTACGAGGAACTCTCTCAGTAACGCGTGGGATCAGAAAAATCTAATCGATCAGTTTAATAACTTCAATACATATACAAAAACAAACTTTTATTAGATTACCTAAAAGATAATTCCATGTAAACAATTAATAAAAGTGAGATTAGTATCGTAAAAATAAGAGTTTCTTACGCTTTCATGGTATATAACTGAAATCCTAACCTAGTTAATAACTAAAATAAGAAATCTTATCTAACAGTTAAACAAAGACAGATGGTTCAAAATAAGTGTAATTAATTATATGTATATATTCTAAATTTCTTCGCCTATGATGTTCAAGCCACAAATATCTGCCTTTGCGCTAAATAGTTATTTTCAATGTTAAGAATTGAAATGCTCTTGAATTGAGAATTGCTTGATATCCTTATCATTTCAAATATGACTAAAAACAGATACAGAAATCTTTTAAAAAGGTTTCTGTTTAGGTTATAAGACCCAATTTTCCGTGAATACATTCATGAAGAGATAATATAATGTCTATAATGTATTGGCTAAGTTATATAGAGCGACTTATTAGGTGTTGTCCTGATTTTCGTATCATATTTGATTTTTTTATTTCTTGAAGGAAATGACAACATATTTACCATAATTGAATTTTCTTTTTGTAGAAGGAAATTATAATTCTTCCATGTTTGGATAGTCCTTTTTCTTGTAGGAAAAGGTTTGGACTTCTATAAATTGAGGATCTTTTCTTCTCATTCAATAGCATCCACAATATAGCCATATGGGGTTTGAAAGTCGTATTTAGGAGGAGAACTTTACGAGACAAGTGTTAGTGTGTCACTTGGTTTGCCTCTTCGTGAGGTTGTTCTCTCAATATTTTGTACTCTCTTTTATTATAGTGGATTGTTCATCTTCGCCGTGGACGTAGGTCAATTATATTGACCGAACCACGTTAAATGTTTGTGTCTTTTTTTGATATATTTCTCTTTTGTTGTATGATTTATCGCCGTTGAAGGCTTGCTTTACTAACTTCTGTATTACACCTGATTATTTCGGTCCTAACACGACTCACTAATAATAAGGAAAAAAGAAAGACTGTGATACTTTGTTGGTATAACCGTATAAGATACAACACTCACAAAGATACGTAGTTGATAACTTTAGCTTTAGCTTCATCATTATATTATTAGATGTGTTAGTTGACCTAATCACTAAATTCTTGTACACCCCTAGTAGTCTAACTTAATTATTCAAGGCATATTTTTATTGATTTTCAAAGTGTTTTCTGTGTAGCATGGAAAGTATTCTGGAAAGATACGAAAGGTACTCATATGCAGAGAGAAAGTTGAATGCCAATGACGTTGATCCCATGGTAATCTGCAAATCCTTCATTTTGTTTAACTTTTTCCTTTTTCTCGATTTGTCCGTTGAGTTGTCATTGTTGGCAATAAAAAAAAGCGGCTCCATGAGCTAGCTTTGATTCTGAAACCCTCATAGAGCAAGAGTACTTGTAAATACTAAAAGGATAGCCCGTTGCACGAAGCATTTCGTACTCACATAGGGTCCGAGGAAGGGCCGCACCCAAGGAGTGTGATGTAGCCGATTTCACGGCTCGACCCGATTACACAGAGATAACTTTACCGTTGTTCCAAAACTCTCTTCTGCTTGTAAATACTAATTGGCACATTTTAAACTTCATGAAATCATACTATTAGTGTGAAGTTACATTTCAAGTGAAATACTGTTTTGCACCCACAAACTTTCTTCCCACCAAAGTTCCTCATGTTTAGAACACAGTATCAACTTCCACAATTTTTTCTACTGCAACTTCAAATACTCTTCTTTTAACTTCTATTGAGATATTGTCTAAACGCCTAGTGAGCTCAGCTGTCTTTATTTATTTTCTAGTTTTGGTTTTCCCATGCAGTCAAATCTATTTATAACAGTCTTGTTTGTTCCGATATTTTTTTAGTGAAGTGTTGTTAGCTCAGCTGTCTTTATTTATTTTTTAGTCTTGGTTTTCCTATACAGTCAAACATCTCTATAACATGCTTGTTTGTTCCGATATTTTTTTACTGCTACAGTAAAGTGCTGTTATAAAGAACATATATTATAACGTAATGTTAAAATCGGTTCCGAAAAAACTTAACTTTTATAGTGAATGACTATTATATAGAAATGTTATTATAGAGAGGTTTGACTCTATATTGATTCTATTGATGAATTATTGTAGGAAAATTGGACTCTGGAGCACCCGAAGCTCATGTCAAGGATTGAACTTATACAAAGAAACATAAGGTACTTCTTTTAACATCAACCACAAGTATTCATATATATTTAATTAGTGTAACACGATCAGATTCTACTGAAGTTATAATTATGAGATTGGTATACAAAACCAAGAATAAGTAACATAGTTTAAAACTTCAAATGAACAACAATAATTCTTGCTGTAATCATATAAAATCTGTGTTTACATCAAAATCTGTAGGCATTATACGGGCCAGGATCTGGACCCTCTTAGTTTGCGAGAGCTACAGAGTTTAGAGCAACAGATGGATACAGCATTGAAGCGAATACGAAGCAGGAAGGTGAGCAATTATTCACCAAGAATAACATAGTTCAAAAATTTAAATGAGTAGCACTAATTCTTGCTTCTCATTACTAGGATTAAACTTATATATACCGACATTGTAAAGAAAAAAATGAATTACATTATCCGTGTATATAACATGTTATTTAGCACATAACATGTCTTATTTAATTTCCAGATTATTAATTTTAGTTTTTATTAACGATTACATGTTGTTTTTAAAGTAACATGACAGTGTAAAGATTCTACACTCTCAACGAATTGAAATAGTTTTTTTTATTGCTATCCTGGCATAAGCTATTTCTCAACAAGTATGTCACTTGAATATGCAGAACCAACTGATGCACGAGTCCATTTCTGAGCTGCAGAAAAAGGTAATGATACTCCATCTAGTTATACTACTTGTTATAATTGTGCTAACACAGAATATTTTAATTTAAAAAAAGGGAAAAGGCCAAAATATGCTATTGTACTTAACGAAATAGCTTATCCAGGTCACTCGTTAATATATAGTTGGGCCTATTAGTGCCACTGAGGACAACTCATCCCATATTAAAAAAATGCGAAATCTGATTTTCTAACACCAAGTTTGACACGTGTCAGCTACCCAAATCACTACATAACTCTACCCCACTTCCTACTCTAACCCCGTTACCCCAACTAACCCAACCCCATTTATTTTCTGGGGTAACTGGGGTTAGAGAGGGAAATGGGGTAGAGTTATGTAGTGGTTTGGGTTATTGGGTAGCTGATACGTGTCAAACTTGGTGTTGAAAAATTATATTTCGTATTTTTTAATATGGGATGAGTTGTCCGTTAATGAATAGTGGTATAGATAGGCCAGTGATGTAACGTCAGTGGCACTAATAGACCCAACTATTAACGAGTGGCATGGATAAGCCATTTCGTTAAGTACAGTGGCATATTTAGGCCTTTGCCCTTTAAAAAAAAACATGTGTACTGTCATCCATAATAAAAGTAAATGTTCCACTATGAGCTGAGGGTATTGACTAATTTTACACTTTATGGCAGGAGAAAGCGCTGCAAGAACAAAACAACTCGATGACTAAGAAGGTACACCATGTACAACCTGTTTCCTAACATCTTAAGATTGATGTTACATGTTGAATAAATTCAACTCGGTAGTATCCTTGTGGGCTCATTAAAAATTTGAACTGAAAACAGCTGAAAGACGAAGAGAAGGTGCAAAGTGGGAAAATACAACCTAATTCAGGCCAAAACTCAGCAACCTTTATGCTACCTCAGCAGCCTCCACCACAATCTCACCAACTTCCTAACCTAACAATTGGGTACTCTCTCTCTCTCACCCATACACAGAGGTAACAATGTTCAAGGAATAATCATCTTCGTATACATGTTTAACTTTTATACACTGATAATGTTACATGATTAGGTTGGTGAAAGATAAAACTACTAATGAATGAATGATCATAATAAGCGGAGTTAAGTAGTAACTTGTAAAATACTGCTACAATATATTAACTAACACTGATAGTAGTTGTGAAAGTTCTTTAAAATGTCAGTATATATAAATAATTATATGAATCCTACAGTTTTGTGTTAAAATAAAGTGTGGTGAAACAATTTGTGAAATTCTTTAAATATAAAAACTGATAAATAATCAAAGTTAATAATGTCAGCGGACCATTTGAAGCAACAAGGATAAAGAACACAGATGGAGATCGAGCTCACTATGGTTCTAATTCCCTGATGCCGCCATGGATGATCCGCCACGTCAACAATGATGGGTAAAAACAAGATGTAATATTGGAAGTTGGAATCCCACTGTGTTGTAGATGTACTTGTACACTATAGTACGTAGGCATTGCTTCTACAACAGCTAGATAATATAGATATCCATGTATAATTAATTGTATATGATCCAAACAATGAATTTTCCAGCTTGTATGGATCATTATCGCCATGAATGGTAAATGTAGCCTTATCTTAGCCTTTTTTTCAGAGCATATGATATACGTATAAGCTAATAAAACCCTCAATCTTTTATCCCTTTCTTGAGTTTCCTTATTTGTCAATTAAGGAGGTTAAACTGGCAGTGTATCTAAAATTTATCAATATAATATTCCTTTAGCACAGAAAGATTAAGAAATTAAGGTAGGACCACAAGGTAAGCTTTTAGTTACTTGCAGATGATTTCTAAGTTTGTTTAATTTTGGAAATTGTTTTTACATCTTTTCCGGGTAAAAATTAAACTCAATAGGTCCTCAAGTTAATCCTTAAAAGAGAAATGTATAATTTTAGTAAATAAATAAATATATATATATGTGTGTGTTATATACATATAATAAATATATTTTATATACTTTTTAGCTAGCTAAGACAATTAGTTTTAGCCGACCGACCAGCTGTATTTTGCCCTAGTGAAAAACAACATATTTTCATTTTTCTCATCTCCTTAGACAATCCAATTTTCAGTGACGCTTAAAATTGAAGTCGACAAAACAGTGATTAAAGCACGTATTTGTACAAAATAATAATAAGTAAAAGATTCAGGTTGAGCACTAATTTTGCTAATAAGATATTGTTTGCTAGTAGCTTCCAAAGTGCCAAAGTATTAACACCAACAAATGATTTCCGTTCAGAAGTACTCCAGTTATCTGAGAAAGAACAAACATAAAACTTCTACAATTCAAAAAGATCGATAATTCCAATTAGAACAAATTGATTCAAATTTATCATTAAGGAGAACTCTAGCTATATAACAATTACTTTACCTCTAACATAGTCACGAGATGGCAACTTGAAGACGGAATTTCTCAAGCTTATTACAAGTTTATTACCATATACAGTTTATTTCCAATTACAACCTACCAACTTAATAATGAAGCACCACACCGCGACGAGAGAATGCATGTGATGAAGAAATAATGAGTTTGTTCTCACTATTGACTTGAATTCAAGACTCAACCCCAACTGGGGAGTACTTGATATTACTTTGACACTGTCAATGGCTTCACGCACCATACTCATCATCATAGTAGTAATGCTCCCTGTAAATGCAAACAAAGAGATGAAAAAAGTTACGACAGTGAGAATTCAGATAGCCGACCCCAACTTTCTTGAGGTTGACAGAGTAATTGTTGTAAAAACAGTTGAGACAATGATGCGGCATAAATAAGGAAAAAGAGTATGCCTGTAAAAGAGTAAAGAGGGGAGGCAAGGAAACTTTATAAGAAGACAGGTTTTTAATCCTCAAAAGTGCCAGCAACTGTTTTAAATAGAAGCATTTTAACAGTAATCAAAAGTATATATGCTTCACAAGCATTTCTACCTCAATCTTTCACAAAGCCGTGCTAAAGCATCAGCTCCTGTTCTCGAGGCAACATCCTCAACCTCTGAAGCATTGGACAGATTCACAGTTTCTGCAAGCTGAAACTCACACAATTCCTTCAGCGAACATGCATCTGTCAGCACTGCTGAATGTCCACCACCAGCAGCCAATTTCCGGACTTCCCCAACACACCTGAACAAACGGGTGCTTGAATAAAAAATGACAACATTTTCAAGGTCTAGTTAAGCAATAGGCTCTCATGAAACATACCAATCAACTGGTGACGGATACCAGGCATATGTTGACTTCTCATTAGACGCTTGACCGTAGCAATTGTAACCCCATCCATGTATTCGTCCATCTTTAGCAGAGATAAGCGTGTGTGAATGCCCACAAGCAACAAGTTGCACACCATCAGGAACGACCAAAACTGGTATATTCCGGAGCATCATCTCAGATTCATTGAGTTTGCATGAAAAGAATCCATTTAGGGGCCCAACTCCCAATTGCCCAGCCTGACCTCCACCCCAAGCATAAAGAGCCCCTTTTGCAGTCACAGCACAGCTGTGAACACCACCACAGGAAACTTCTTTTATAACTGTGCCATCAAGGGCAACTACACGCCTAGGTAAAAGTTCCATGTCACCTGACTGAAGGGAACAATGCCCAAGTTGTCCCATGCTTCCCAATCCCCACGTATAGCTGTAGTTAGTCAAAATGACTGTAAGATAAGTCTGTGAGCATCAAAACCATACGAAATGGACGAGGGGAGCAAAAAAAGTATAAATCACATGATCTATAGCAGCTGTTGATGAGTAAAACACAACCATCACTAAGTTATATGAAACTTCAAGGAATGAAAGATAGAGCAGAAAAAAGTGAAGGCCAAATGTCAAATGGTCAATCCTAGAAGCAGACCAGGTAATGCAGTTTTCAATTTGGAGAACACTAATTCATTACATCAACGCCGTTCCTTGACACAGCTTTTGATCCTTCACTATAAAAGAGGCACTACATGAAAGCAAAGATTCCAATGAAATATAAGAAATCAAACAGAAAAAAAAAAAGAACCTTGGAACAATTTTATCAGCTTTAGTCCACAAGCCCTGTGGGTCATTAAGTCCAAAAAGGTTAATGAGCGGTGCAGCAGAGAGATGGCAGATCATCATGAAGACACACGTAGTGATGCTTCTTATTCATTTCATGAAGGGTCAATGACTAACTCAGACCCACAATGACTCAGAAAGTTTAATTTTTACCGTGACAAGCGAGGTTGCACTAGTGGCAAGATCATTAACCAAGTGGTTGGGAGTTTTCTTCACCACCGGAAAGGGTCATCACTGGATTCTGGTTAGGGATGTTCGTGGAAGCGAGGGTGGGGTTTTACCATAACACAAAAAAAGTTCAATTTATGGCACAAAGTTCAATTTTTACCAAAAAATCCTACTAACATAGGAAAGAACAAGCAAGGAAGAGAACTTAGCTTTTACTATGGCATAAGCAAATGATAGTGTACTATTATAAGGGGTCCTTTGGAAGGAAATTACTTATCTCAAAGAGCTTTGTGATAAAGATTCCTTCTTGAATTGGAAACTAAAATAACTAAACTCTAATCTTCTACAGCGTTTCTTTTTTGATAAGCAAACTCTAATCTTCTACAGTTTTTCTTTTTTGATAAGTATCTTCTACAGCTTTTCAACATGTAGTTGTTCTACTGTGGGGGATGTCCCTCTGCTCTAATCCTCTATCTCTCTTCTTTTAATGCGCGTGTGTGTGTTTATGGATGCGGTAGTTTCTAGGAATACTATCAAACAAAATCCTGTAATTGAAACCAGAAGCCATGAGAAATTCGAAAATGTAATATTTCAGAACGGACCAGGCTTTCGATGATTCAAAAGAAAATAAGAGAAGTTTCACAAATGGGCAAACCAAATCCTGCAAATCAAGTAGTGTGTATCTTTATGGTTCATTTTCCCAGACATCCACCTCCACTTGTGCCATGCAGATAACCACAATTCTCATGCTTCGCATCAAAACTTATCTCCATCAAGAAAGGTCCAATGAACACTTACACATCGCCTTTCTCTGAAATAGCTGCAGTATGGTACTCCCCGCATGACACTTGGGTAATCTTCACAAGTTCAGGGGCTTCATCGAGAAATTTAGCATATCCATTAATTACCTGAGGGCCTTGAAGGCCTTCAGATGTAACACCTCTCCCAAGCTGACCATATTCATTATAGCCTGCTTTACCAGAGCAGTGACAAAATTTCATTAATACATGACACCATATGTTTTTAACTCTATCGCTGTGTAACCTGATAGAGAAGGTACACATGAAAAATATAGATCACAAACACGGATCCATACACTTATGCAACGACTTCATCAAAATTATCGGGAGGATATATTAAGTGTAGAATGGTATATACAGGTGAATCAAGAAAGTGCAAATTACCCCAAGCTTGCAGCAAGCCTTCTTCTGATAAAGCCACAACATGAACAGCACCACAAGAAACTTGGCGGATAACCTGAACGAAATGGAAGAGCATATAAATATCAGAAAATTTGTTGCACATTGCGATGCCAAATCGCTTCTTGTATAAGGAGACCTTGAATTAAATCATTTGCACGTAATAACCGAAGTATATAAGTTATACATGCATATGGTGCATACATGATAAATGTTCTGCACGTAATAACCAATAAATCTTATTGCAAAATATCAAATGTAAATCTGCTTGCACATAACACAAAAAATGATTATTCAAAAATTGATCAAACCTAAGCCTCAACCCAATAAAAACCCTTGCTTTTAGATGGCCAGCAACTTCTTAACAAAAAAGAAAAAGCTTGTAGGCGTAGATCGGATAGAGACTTCAGGAAAAAAAATAGAACTGCTATCGTAACATAAATGCGACTAGATAAATGGTTAAGCCCCACTGGTACCACACAGAAGTGACACATTTGCACGAGACAGAGTTGATACCGTAGAAGGAGCGAAGGCACCCCAAAAGAGTCGTGGATAGTTGGATCCCTGCACAGAATAATATGGGCAAAAGAATTGTGACCTCAAAAAAACAAGGTAACTGTTGAATCTGAAGGTTTTGTGAGACTGACCTGGTTCTGCCCCCAGACCCAAAGTCTCCGAGTTGACATGGTACCATCATTTTCACGTGGTTCTGCAATAGCAGCAGTGCAATGTGCTCCACATGAAATGCTAATAACAAATTCAGATTGTAATTGCTTCACTTTCTTGGGGTGCTTCCTAGCATTTTCAGTTCCATCACCCAGCTGACCAAATTCATTAGCCCCTGTATGAAAGTATAAAAATTAGGAGCATTCTATAAATTATTTCATGTCGCAGTGAGAAGTTAATACCACTCTCCTACAGGAAAAGCAACTTCCTCCCGAACAAAAGCAGGACCAAGCTTCTGAAATCACTTGTCTAATAATTAAAAGTCTAGGTACATCCCAAAGAGGTAAACTTTACAAGTAAAATGAACTGTTCAATATCAACTTAAATCGCATAAAGTGGCGACGTCTTCTTTGCAGCATATCTCTTTGATTAAAGGAACATAAAACAACCAACACGTAATTTATTTGAGTAGAAAATACACAAAAGCATAGTAAGATCAAGCAAGAAACGCAGTAAATGACCACC